CAAGACAGGGCAGGAAGAGGACAAGCCCGCTACTGACATCATGATTTTTTATTTAGCTGAGTTTAATACTCCAAATTTTTGCGCGTTATATGTGCCATTGCTGCTCGAAACTTGTGACAAAATTTTGTCGAATTAGAGTAAATATCAAGACTTAGTATTTTAGGAAAAATGTCAATATTTCTGCTGATCAAAATATAACCTCTCCCAAAGTACACGGCTTTATATCTCAAATACGCATTCAATAAATTTTGGTCGCATTTAATATTTTGCTATTTGGCTCCAAAAGAACGTGTTTACAAAATATTGAGCTTAAATACTTAAATACTTAAATACTTAAATACTTAAAGCTGCCCTTATGGCGAAAGGCCAAAAACCGTTTTTCTGCCCTGTCTATGCCAGTTCAAATATATAAAGCAAGTAATGAATGCAGGAATGAATTAATAAATGATTAACTAAATTGATAATTTGAAAACTGATAATGAATGAAGTTGAAGGAATRAATAAATTGATAAATATTTACAACATACACCAAGACCCTTATGATGGCCATCATGGCCAAAAAGACTACAGATGAAGCCAATAGTTGGTAATTTATTCTTCAGAGTTTATAATTTCTATTCTGTTTTTCTCATCAAATATTCAGTAGTTGATATAATTTTTTTTTTAAAGATAGACATAAAATAAACTTAAATATATAAATAATTATTGATTATAAACTAAACATCAAGATGTATGTATGTATATTATCTTGCATGTAGCCCACATTCTTAGTGCCAAGATCTGCTTGCCATGTTAACTTTGATGGTGTGATCATGGAGCCAGATGACACCCACCTCTGTGTCATCCCGTCTTCTTTTCTTCACTTCCGGACTCCTTCTGCTCAGGTTTCTCATCCGTGTATTGCATATGTCTAGTTCTTATACATTCAAATTATGCTTGTATCTTGTGCAGTGTGTCTAATACTATTGATAGCATCTAATCTAATCTAATCAAACACTTTTTGTTAAAAATCATTTCATTAGAAGCTTTTGTAGGGAACTGATTTTTAATTGTTATAAATCATAATAAATAGATAAATTAACCTGTGAAAGTAATGAAAGATTTAAAGAAAACATTGTTCATTTTATTATTCCCCCTCACAAACATCTAATTATAAACTGAAATTGTTGGTTCATTAAAACTGCTAAATTTAGTTAAAACATTATATTGCTTACCGACATCATAAACCACTTTTATTTGCCCTCTGCTGACCATGGATTTTAATTTAAGATTTAAACATTCATTTTTATAAATTTAATTTRAAAAACCCCTAATTATTCATTGTTTATTTTTAATCCATGAAGATCAGTTTAGATCAAAAGTTTAAAGACAGTCTTGCTGCCAGTTACATTGTTGATGCTTAAATGTACATGTCAGGGCTCAACATTGAGTTACTGATTGCCAGTGAAACTAGATTTGTTTCCTCTGCCTACAAAAGTTTTCAAAGTCTTTTACCATGTGGTGATTTACCTTTTTACATCCTTAGCTGTTTACTACCTTAGGTATCCGTATACAGCAGTCCATCCAATATCTGGATATAGATATTAATATTGAGCCCTGAATGTATATGAAGTAGTATTAAAGTAATAGCTCTTCCATACCTCCCCTCACAGGTGTGCTTTCTCATATATTTGCTTGTTTTTATTTTGTTTTCATTTTAAAACTCCCTACTTCCCTGTGTGTGTGTGTACATATTCTCTCAGATTCATTCATCATTCACTTGTGTCTGTCTCTTTTTTTTTTTTTGGTCATTCACTGGAAAACTCCTGACCTTCAATACAGTACGTGCCAAACATCCCTCTCCTCCCCTGTATGTACAGCCATTTACTTGTTAGTATTTGTGCATTTAATCATTTTGTTTTGTTTGTTTTGTTTGGTTTATCATCTTAGACCTCTGCACTGGARGTAGAAAACAAGGGAGCCAGTGTCAAGAGCTCTGTCAGTAGTCGAAGTAGTAATGAAAGTTTACAGGATACTGAGACAGAAGACGACAAGTCCATTATTCACCGCCATGTTGCCATTGAGCGACAAACTGCTGAAAGGGATGACAGGTTTGCTACTATTCGACCAAAGAATGTTATTGCTCGTCAACAGCAAGAACACAGACCTGGTGCTGACCGTATGCATGATCAACTGATGGTCTATAAGAGAATGAGGCAAAGCCATCAACGTCAACTTGAAATCCTGGAGAATAAACTGAGAACAGAAATGAATGATCATCGGCGACAGTTGGACAAAGAGTACGAACAGGTGGGGAACTACAAAATGTTGAAAAGATAAGCCTGTGTGTTTCTGGTGCACAATATTGATTGAATGATTATTATGTCTATAACAAGAACACAGCTCTAGTAATAATCACACCATGAAAAAAACAATTTCTATTGTATTCTTTATGCTGTTGAAATGCGAGTCATAGCAAGATAGCTTGCTCGCTCGTCATCACTATCATGGTCTTATTCATGTTATTCATCATCGTGTAGCTGAGTAGAGGTTGCAAGTAGTCAGTCAGGGTGCTATGTGAATCATAGGATGTAGCAAGACAGCTAGCTTCATCATCCTGTAGCTGAGTAGAGGTTGCAAGTAGTTAGTCAGGGTGCTATGTGAATCAGGATGTAGCAAGACAGCTAGCTTCATCATCGTGTAGCTGAGTAGAGGTTACAAGCAGTTAGTCAGGGTGCTATGTGAGTCATAGGATGTAGCAATATAGCTAGCTTCATCATCGTGTAGCTGAGTAGAGGTTGCATGTAGTTAGTCAGGGTGCTATGTGAGTCATAGGATGTAGCAATATAGCTAGCTTCATCATCGTGTAGCTGAGTAGAGGTTGCAAGTAGTTAGTCAGGGTGCTATGTGAATCATAGGATGTAACAAGATAGCTAGCTTCATCATCGTGTTGCTGAGTAGAGGTTGCATGTAGTTAGTCAGGGTGCTATGTGAATCATAGGATGTAGCAATATAGCTAGCTTCATCATCGTGTAGCTGAGTAGAGGTTACAAGCAGTTAGTCAGGGTGTTGGGTTTTTCTCTGTATTAGATGTCAGTTTTCCTCCATCTAATACTTTGCTCGCTTTCTTTTGTTCAAGTGTGCATTCGTGGATTCGTTCTTTTCTTTATGTTTCACATCCAAGCCTGTTTTACTAGAACCTATTGTTGACATTTACCATTTGCTTTCGTTCTCACCAGATGGTTCATCAGTTTGAAAAAGACTTAGATAAACTTCGATCGCGGCATAAAGTTGAACTAGATCAAAAGTGCAAGCAGATGCAATCAGAAGAGAAGAAACTTCAGAAGCAAATCCGTGATCAACAGGATAACGAAATAAAAATATTTTGCAGTAAACAAAAAGCTGAGTACAAGGCTGCCAAGTCTTCGTTCAAAAAGGTGAACAATTCGTACTTGTMGCATGTTTTTTATCTACCCTTTCTGACTACAATGCACGCCATCTTCAGGGCTCTGTCTTAAAGTAATAAAAAAACCTGTTGTAGCTAAGGCCAGTTTTTAGAGTGCTGAAAATGTACACGTTTTTTGCAACTGTGTGTGAAATGCTGGCCGGAGTAAAGCCAGGAGAATCAATGGAAGTTCCTAGTGGACCACTAGTGGTGATGCAAGATAAACTAAATACGAGTTTAAGGTGCAAACCAAAAAGGTGTTGGTTGCTACAGAGTTCGGTTTTTTTTTCTGGTTCAGCGTCATTTACAGGTGGATGCCCCTTAAACGCATAGCTCCTCTTCAAGACAATCCTTGATCCGTCCCTGGACAAGTATGGAGTGTCTAATGTTTACTTTTTGTTGTATTGTAGAACAACCCAGCTTTGTATCAAGAAAGAAAGGATACTTTCCAAGCAACCCAAAATAAAATCCTACAACAGAAACGATTAGCACAGAGAGAGTATTTACGCAATGAAAGAAGAAGATTTCTACGACAGCAGATGAATCAACGGCATATACTAGAGAATGATCTTATTTCTGAGGTAGGAATTTAAGTGTAAATCAGGTTATTTTCTCGTGACCTTCCATTTTCGCGTACCTCTGACTAGACTTATGAGTCTCGTTTTGGTCTAGTCATCAATCCATCCACTATCATAGTTATCTATCTATCCATCCTTCCTATTTATTCCATTCATTCAATTGTTCGTTCAGTTCTCTGTTTTATATTGTTCTGTTAGGAAATGAATAAACTTGAGGCGCAGAAAGAACAATCCCACAAGATGTTAATCCGCCATCACGAAAGTACCCAGGAGCTTGAATTCAAGCACCTCTCGRCCCTCCATAAACTACGACGAGAACAACAGCAATATCAACACACCACTGAATGGAACAATCAAATGGAATACAACAAACAAGCCGAGTTAGATTTACGAAAGAAACATTTATTTGAACTCAAACAACAGCCCAAGACGCTTAAGGTACCTAACTGTAACAGTAACCAAAGACTAACATTCTTAATATGGAATACTAGGGGGAGGGGGTGGGGGAGATATGTCATCCTCAAAATGGAAAGTCCTCAAAGTTAGTGAAGGCATAACCCTGCCTTTTGCATTGATTTTCGGAGCCATTAAAAAATCTGCTCTTTCGATGYGTATGTGTAGTGAATGGCTTTTTTAAATCTTTTTATTTTTATTATTTAACAGCAAAAAGAAAATGAAATCAAAAAACAATATCGTGACGCAATCCGAACCCAAACGTCACAATACAAATTTCTACAAAAACAAACTCTCGAGAAAGCACCACGTGACCAACACAAGGACATTATCAAACAGTACCGCGAAGACCGAATGAGAAAAATGGCTGATTTGGCGGTTCAGTATGATCAGAGTATCGCAGAAATGTTGCAAAGACAAACGGTAAGATTCCAGTTTCTGGTGGACGACTAGTATGGTGGTAGTGGCCATGATGGTGGTGGTGCATGGTGGTGGTGGTGGACGACTGGTGGTAGTGGCCATGATGGTGCATGGTGGTAGTGGTGGTGGTGGTGG